CCCCAGACCTCAATACATTAAACCAGGTGTGGACCTATTATTGCATCATACAACAAATACAGTGCTTTATCATTAAATAACTCCCTTACTTTATACAGAACAGCAATAGATTTAACCATCTTTGTTAAATTATTTATGTGAGGTCTCCATGTCAAACCTTCATATATCACTACACCCAAAAACTTCACTTCACTGACTTTAAAAATCTCAACCCCATCGATTCTAAACTGAACATCAATAGTTTTCTTTCTGTTACTAAATACCATATAATACGTTTTCTCTAAATTTAATGACAACTTATTAAGTCTAAACCAAGTTTGTATTTTAACAAATTCRGTTTGCATCTTTACCAACATGTGATCTATATCTTTACCCAAACAAAAAAATGTAGTTTCATCTGCAAATAYTACACATTTGAAAAACTCTGACACATTTACCAAATCATTCACACACAGTACTATAAACAACTTTGGTCCAAGTACAGAACCCTGAGGAACTCCACATGTTATGTTACAAAGTTCAGATCTTACTCCATTTATCTGTACAAACTGTTTCCAATCTTTCAAATAGCTAGATATCCACTGTAAGAAGAATACTATGGTCAATAGTGTTAAATCAACACAAATGCTTGCACAATACTGCTTTTGATCAACAGTGGTTGTTATTTGCTCATTTAACTCCATGACTCCATGACGCTGTAGAAGTATTTGCTCTGAACCCGTATTGACTACTACTTAAAATATTTTGTTTGTTGATGAATTGGTCCAATCTTGTCACAAATAATTTCTCTAAAWTTTTTGAAAATTGTGGCAACGATATTGGTCTGTAATTGTTAAACACATATTTTCCACCATTCTTATACATAGGAATTACCATCTTGGTAGTTTCATGTGTCCGTTTACTACCACAATAATTTTAGTTTTCTCTGCCTCCACAACTTTCTAAGGGTAAACAATCAAGGGGCACTTCAAAATTAAAGATATTTATTACATACACAAAAATATCTTATAGCTTGATTTCCAACAGAATAATACTAATATTTTAACAGATGTACTGAAAAGATAAAAAGTTAATATTTGTATTTTTAATTTACTAAATAATAACAAAATAATGGATATTTCTTAAGTTCTGGTTTGCTTATTTTGTCAAATAAATTCGGCTAGACAAAAATTGGGTCTGCTTTAGTTGCCTTACCTGCTCGGTTTGAAGCTGTTGGCGGACAACTCGAACATGCTCCTGATTCTCAGGATGAATATTTTGCTCCTCCTGTCTTTAAAAACAAAAACAAAATAACACATATCTAACAGCACACAGGGTGATGATATCATATTTTTGTTTTGTTTATGAAAGCCGTTGAACTCTGAGAAGTTAGAGCAGTTTGACTTTGCAGGCTAATTTCCTGCTGCCCGTATTGACTGGTAAAATGAGAACCTTTTACCTAAAATCGGTCAAYCCATTGCAAAGTTAGAAATGCTGATTTAAGTCTTACCTGCAGAGCAAWGTGAGGATGCCTGCTAGGAAAGTAAAACTGAGGACCACAACAAATAAGACCTGGTTGCTGACGCCCTCTATGATGGTGTCCTCATCTTGGATCAGGTAGTCCACGTCCCCACCTTGACTATCCTCCATAATCCACACTCATAGCCCGAGACTCTGAACGAAAGGAGAGAGAGAGAGAGAGAGAGAGAGAGAGAGAGAGAG